AGGTATTGGCATTTAAAGTTGTTAAAAAAATTTAATAAAAACAATTTGCTTGATTTCTACTGACTCAACCCCATATATTTTCTTAAATTCTAATATTAAAAGATATGAAAATTTATGATCAGTTTAAATGAATTATTATTAATTAAATCAGATACATCTATATTAAACACTTGTAAGTACTTGCAGCTGTGAAAAAGTACCTGTAGATTTAGAAAATCATCAGAAATTGAGAGGCAATTATCGTTATTTTGCAGTAGAAGGAGTCAGATGATGCATATATATTATAAAAATGGCAACTATTAAGCAGCCGTGGATCAAATTATTAAATGATGAATAAATACAAAAAACTACTCTTGAACTTAAATAAATTAGTAAAATTGAATTAAATAACCCGATTGATTTAATATTTTGTAAGAAATTAATTATTTTTTAATAATTGTAATAAAATCTTAAAATAGGACATTGTTTTGATTATTAATACATATAATAAAAAAATTATCAACCTTTGAAACGATTAATTAAATTTTTTTAAATCTATTCAATTTCATTTTAATCACAATAACCAACATAAAACATTCTATTATTATAATCATATCAGCCTTTTCCAATACCATTAAAATAACAATAATCAACCATATATACATCTTTGACATTATTTATATCAGCTGATTTTTAGTAATAACTGAATGCTTTTTCGATATTGATGACCACAAAACCAACTATAAATGCTTCTTCAACACGATCCATATCCACAGATTTTGAAAGTACACAAATGCTTCACATCCAATTCCTTTGTAATAATATTAGCCAACCTTGAATATTCTATCTAAATCGCTCATGTCTACAAATTTCACGTAGCATTTGAACTTCTTGTGTTTATCCTATTCAATTCAGATTCACAATAACAGAATAATAACATATTAGAAAATATAATATTGATCTGAATATCAAGTTCCAACAAGAATGCAAAAGCAATAGTTCACATAAATTTTAATTATTTTGATTCGTTATTAATGCTGTTCACTCATATCTACTAATTAAAGCTACCATGATATTTTTTTTTTATGTAATCTCATTAAAAAAAAACCTATTTTCAAATAAAATTCTTACTGATATGTATTCAAATAAAGTGCTAAAATGAATCAGAATAATAAAGAAATTTGGTCATTTAAAAAGGTCATAGATTGTAGAGAATCTTAAAAATTATCTTTCTTTTAGCTACACGAAAGAGACCTGAGTTTAATAGTAAATAAATAAAAGATTTTTATCTTAATTTTGCGCAAATAGAAATTGTTGTGATACAGAATATTTCAAATAATAATGGTAATAAAAATGGTAAACCAATTCGCAAAGCAATATTAAATTTATTTATCGCATAGGGGCAAAAAGTAACTCGAAAATTATATAACAGTCCAGTTTGTGTGACATATCTTCTGACTGATACATGTCTTGTACATTCTAAAAACAATGAATCAGTAACTTGGCAGTTTGATAGTCGCATGGATAAATAAAGCAATATGTCACCTACAGGCTTAAATTGGTTATCATCATAATTAGGAGGAATTGGAACTGTCCTTGTAGCCATATGTCCATATCATTGATGATAAAAAATACCACCTTGATTATTTTTTTTCTTTAAGAAAATGTAGCTACAATCCACCATCCTTAAATTGTTTAATATCACAATACTGCAAGTTATATATATCTCCAACGCAAAGTCTGCATTGCAAGGACAACCAAAAAAAACCTGCCAAATTAAACCTTGATTGTTATCAATTGATAAAAAATTATGTTTTAAGTAGGAAGAAATCTCATTAGAAGTTAGTGGGCTGCTTTGATTGGTGTTACCAAACCCTGCATCTTGCAATGATCTCATTTTTCTATTTAAGCATCATAATGTTTTTGGAAAACTATATCGATCCTAAATTCGTATTCTACCTGGAATTGCTGTACTTTCTTTTACAAAATAAGCTAGTGCTGCATAACAGTTATATAAGAACTCAACCTTAAAGGGAGTTCCATCTTTTTTTTCAAGCCAGATAATAAATAAGCTTAGGTAGGTGTCGAGTTCTTTCTTATTATCAATTTTCTCTAATCTTTTATCAACATTATGTTCTCTTCTATATTATTCTATGTGTCAAAGCCACTTTTCAGTATTCTTGTCAGTATTAGTGACCCGGGATAAATTAGTGAACTGTTGGACTTCTTCTTGTAAATTATCACTCAAATTTTTTTTTAAATATGTATAATAAAAGGTTAATATAAAAAAGTGAACGGAAAGAGAGGAAGAGTAAAAAAATAAGATGAAAAAAAAATTGCTTACTTTTATAATTCTAGTGATTAAAAAAGTGATCTATCACTTAGTTAATAAAGGTTTGCACGGGTTGTTATATCAGAATTTTGCAATAACTATAACTTATTTAACATATGTACCTAATTACAACATTGCAATATCCTAAATTAGTCTTTTTTTTTTATCATAAATACGAATTTGGGCACTTTTAGTAATTATATAATATTGATATGTAATTATTGTGGCTTTTGATCATTTGTATAATTAATGTCGTTATTTTATTTGTAATTCGATCTATGAATTAATAATTAATTTGAGTGTCACTAAGTAAAAACTTACAATTTCAATTTTTACCTTACTTAACCTCAACTACATAGGAATCACAATAAGTTTAATAAACCTAACTTAGCCTTAATTACATAATGTGGTCACTGAAAAAGCGAGTAAGCTTTGTAACAAATTTTTTCAAAGCTAATCAATTTAGCTTTGAATATATATGTTATTGAAATTGTGATTAAATTTTATAAAAGTTTTTTTTGTTACAATATGATAAATTCATGACAATTCTAGTAGGGTTTCAAACCGGTTTGAAATGTTAGACCCATGACCCGTCGGGTCAAAACTAGCAACCAACCGGGTATCCGAATTGAAATTGGGTAACCCGGTTACCTGATTACCCGTATGTAATTTGGGTGACCCGGTTACCCGAATGTAATTCGGGTGACCTGGTTACCCGATTACCCGTATATAATTCGGGTAACTCAGTTACCTGATTACTCGATTACCCGTATGTAATTCGGGTGACCCGGTTACTCGTATGTAATCTGGGTGACCCGAATTACCCGTATATAATTCGGGTGGCCTGGTTACTCGCATGTAATTCGGGTGACCTGATTACCTGTTTATTCGTATGTAATTCGGGTGACCTGGTTACCCGATTACCCATATGTAATCTGAGTGACCCGATTACCCGATTACCTGTATATAATTTGGGTTATCCGGTTTAGAGGTTGGAACCAGTTTTAAAAATTCGAGTTTATCACATAAAAATTCGAGTTTATCACACCAAAATTCGAGTTTATCACTTCAATCATTAATGATTAAAGTGATAAACTCGAACTTTGGTGTGATAAACTCGAATATTTATGTGATAAACTCGAATTTTTAAAACCGGTTCCAATCTCTAATCCGGTTACCCGATTGCCTTATGTAACCCAGTTATCCAAAAACCTGAGTAGTCCATATCAGTTTTTTTATCAATGCGCAAATGTACATAGGGATGTATTACATAAATTACGTTCATGTAAATTACATTTTAACTTATAAAATTATAATGTAACTTTACATTGAATAGTGCATTATTACATGATAACTTTACCGACATTACAAAAGTTTAGCCAACACTAATAGATATCCATAATTATGTTCGGAATTGTAATTTTTATTTTTAATGCCAGCTTTATAAAAAATTATTCATATGATAAAAATTACATGTAATTTTTGATTTCAGAAACTTATACAAACTTATATAAAATTACGTAAAATTACAGTAATTTTCCAATCCTAAATGTACATTAATACAGTATATAAAAGTCTGCCAATTTATATTCAATTTTTATTTATTATTTTTGTATACTATCTATCCATATTATTGTAGCTTTTTCTTTCTACGTACCAATTGAAACAGCCCAGTTTAAAATCGATCGGAGATGGTCGCAATACACATATACAATAATAATTCGTAGTGCTTATCCTTTGAATCACAAAAAAATGACTCTAATGCTTCTAGCGATGTTGTAAGAATTGCAATAAGAAAGACAAGTTTGTTGTGAAGAAACAACACCATCAAACCTTAATTTCACCTTCATTACCTAATTAAGTATATTTGATTACAGTATACTATAATGATAAGTACTATGTATTTTTTTTTTTTTTTTTTTGATATAGCGATAGCGATAATAACTGTTTATTATAATTCATCTGGTTTAAAAATAGGAAAATGCTACATATTACATTTAAAGAACATCATTTGCTTAACCATATCTGGATGAAGCCTGTTATGTAATGCCATAATGTGTAATCCTGCATCTGAAAATAATCGTTCTGAGAGGACCGATGTTGCTAGCACTGACAAGTATTTTCGAGCTAGATTTGATAATGCAAGATATATTCCAGATTTATCTTTCCACCATGCTAGTGGATTACAGCCTATTTTCTCAACAGGTTCACGAAGGTACCAGTCAACTTCAGTTTCATTAAGAATTTCATCGTTAGGTTCTTCGCTACTATATAAATCTGCAATCAAGTCATTAGTTGTTGCTGGTTCGAGAGTTGACATAGTAGGTGACTTGTCAAGCTCAACTGAGGGCTGATGGCATTTTTCTTCATCGCAAAGTGTTCGCATCCTATTAATTATAGTTCTTTTCATTGATTCATCACTAAGAAACTTCAGATGCTTAATTCTAGGATCCAAGAATAATGCTACAAGCCTAATTTCTTCAGGAGTTTCCTAATATTCTTGAAGAGAAAGATAACTGGCAGCTTTAACTAAATCACATAGGTCTTCGGTAGTAACAGGGGCTCTATTAATCGATGGCCTTTAAATCGCGGGTCATTATTTAGATATGTATTTTTTTTTAATTTTGCTGCGACTTTGTTTCTTCATTCGTCCTTGTGATGCTTGTAATGGTTGATGGAGTTGCTCTGAAATTATTTGTGTATCAAATTCATCTTCTATATCGAGTTCATCAGGATTTTCATAATTGGTTGGTTGACTTGGGCTAAAAATAAAAAATAAACCAGATTTCAGTTTTCTAATGTTTATAAATTTAAAATCCTGAAATCCGGTGGCTCTACATATTTCTAAAAAGTAATATTTAATGCCAGGAAAAACTTTTTAATATACCCAATAGGTCCAAATAATAATTCAGCATAATCATCTTCAGTTTGTTCACAAGAAGGTGAGAATTTTCTAATAAGTAATCTTATTGTTGGATAAATGAGGTTAATAGAAGGATAGCTTGAACCAGAAAATATATTGGTAGCCTCGTAAAATGGTTTCAATAATAGGATAAGACCATCTAACAATCACCATTCATTTTCAGTTAGGTTGGTTAATTTCAAATACTCACCATCAAGTTTGTCACACCGTTCTGATTCTGAAAGCAACATCAAAACAAGGTAATCGATCGCTTTTCATAATTCCTTAAGTTGAACTCAAGCTAAATATGAAGAATTCTATCTCATTAGTATGTCATTAATTGGTTGGTGAATTTTTGAATATCTACATTTTTTTTTGCGCATCTTTAAGTTGTTCGGATTGTTTAGGACTTTGAGAAAAAAAAAGAATTAAATTCTTTGCTCTTTTAATTAATTGTATTGCAGGTTTAAGACTTTTTAGCACGCTTAGTTGAAGCGTATAAGCAGAGCAAGATAATCGTATAATATTGTCCATTAAGCTAATTGCCTTTTTAACATTAGCTCCATTGTCAGTTGTGATGCAAAAAATTCATCCCGTGAGTTCCCAATCAATGATAACTTGATTAAGAGAGTTTTCAATAGCTTCGGCTGTGTGTGGTGATAGAAGCAGTTGGATTGTTAATAAAGCCTCTTTTAATTCAAAGTTTGAATCGATCTATGCTGCCATCACTCCAATGTACCCTTGATTTGGTTTTGAACTCCACATATCTGTTGTTAAATTAACAAATCCAACGTCAGTATTTATCATACCGAATAATTGATCACGACTCCAATTATAAGCTTTGTCAATCATTTTTTTCACAGTCTGCTCACAAGGAATGTGAAAGCCTGCTTCTATATAATTTAACAACTGACGAAAAGCTTGGTTACGTAAAATATAAAGAAGTTGGCAATCTTTAATAATAAATTTGACTAATAGCTGTGCTATTTTGTCTTGCCTCCGTTTACTAATGACATGCATAGCTTTGACAATCGAACCATTACTGTTTGCTTCTTCAGGGTGGTTTTTATCTATTTAGTGCTTAGACCAAAGATGGCCAAGCATATTTCCCGTTAAGGAGTCATGCACATACCTAACATCAATGTTTTTTTTTTTACAGATTTGACAAACATCAAAAGTGCCTTTTTCTGTTGTCTCAACATTAAAATGATCCCACACGATACTACGATTGTCACGTTTTTTTCATTTTTTTGTTTTATCATTATATGCAGGTGATTCATCAGGTATAGGCGGTTCATCGTATACATCTACAGAATATATATCATCATCATCTATATAATTAGATGTTGAAGTTGAAATACTTATCTTGACCTATTAATTTTATAATATTAATTGCATAGTGCTTAATTTTTTGTACGCACCATGATTTTGAAAATTTTACCTGTTCTATTGTGGTACGCTTAATATAGCGTTCAACAAACTATGGGTAGCTTTTTTTTTTTTTGAGCTACTAGTGGATGATGACCAAAGCATGGCTATGTTTATTACAATGTTCTGAACGTAACCTGTTTAATGCTGCAAGCGAAGATGTTTTGTTCAGTTCTTAAAAAACAGATATCTAACGTGTGATTTTTATAAAAGTCATAACGATAGTGTTTTCTAAAAATCAAAAAAAAAAAAAACGCTTTTAAAAATTAAGAGGTTTTTATACCAGAAAAAAAAGCGTTATCAATTACTGTATTATGCAAGGCCAATCAAAGTTAATTTTTTGGTTCGCATAACTGGCCGGGTTAATTTTACTATCAGTGGTTTTTTTTTAAAAAAACCAAAGAAAAATTTTTATACTAATGAATTCTTTTTGAAAATAAAATTAAGCGAATCTTTTTAAATTTCATGTTAAAGACTTTATATAGCCTAGTGATAACTTTATCTTAAACCTTATTTTTTAAACCGGTTGGTAATATAAGTCGAGTTGATCGATTATCTATTTACCAACCAGGTCACCTGTTGTAAAATGGGTCACCTGCTTATTGTAGTGTTACCTGTTGTAAAATGGGTCACCCGCTTATTATAGTGTTACCCATTGTAAAATGGGTCACCCGCTTATTATAGTATTACCTATTGTAAAATGGGTCACCTGATATAAACAAGTCACCCGTTTATCAAAAAAAATAATTCGGTTAGTAAATTTTACGAGACGGGTCATCAGATACATGGTTACCCGGGTTATAGTTTGGATCCCTAAATTCTAGTATAAACTATTACAACCTTAATTACATTCTATGAACTAAAGTATAATAAGATTTTAATAAAATTTTTTACAGTAGCTCATGATCCTATAAAATTTGTTCAAAAAGCATATCCTGATTTTTTCTTGTAGAAATCAGATCTGGGTAAGATTTGGCTTCATTTTTTGTGCTTTATTATAATTGAAAGCTGAATTTTATCTGGATTTGATTTATCTAGAATTATCAAAATTTTATAAAAATAATTAGGAATTTGTATAGAGTTTGCTTTAAAAAAATAAGCATTTTTTAAAGTCTAGAGAAAGTCAGAAAACATTTTTTGAAAAATTTTTATAGAGTGATAAAAATTACAATTGCAATATATACTAATTCAAACTTAACTATATTTTAATAATTCTAATATACAATAAATCAATTCAACCAAATATAGTTACTGGAATATAAAATAATTTTAAAGACAGAATTTATAGTAATTTCAACACAAACTAACTTTATCAAATACTATAGATACTGGAGTGGTAAGTTTTGTAATAGAATTTTTAAAGTATTCTATTATAGAAATCATAAAATTTCTAATACAAACTAACTTAACTTAACTATATATAATTGTTTTTGAAATAGCAAATAAGTTTTGTAATAAAATTTTATACAATAACTTTACAAAAATCATGATAATATCAACTTAGCTATAACTACATATCACAGTTACTAGAGTATATAAAAGATTTATTAACAAAACATTTTACAATAGTTAATAGTAATAGTTTCAATACAAATAAACTCACTAGCGTGTTTGTTATATTAACAAGTAAATGCTATAGCAATTTTTTTTTAGTAAATAAATTTTAAAAGATTATAACCATATACTATACTGTAATAGTTGTTAATTTTTGTATAAAATAGGTAGTATGAAGTGTTACCTATTGTACTAGTATGAATCAATATAAAACTATATTATATTATTAATTTATTCTATAGATACTATGTAACAAGGATACGTGTTATTTCACCGACAATCACTTCACAGACAACTTAGTTCACCGAC